GGGCTCAGATCGGCCTGAAATCGAATTCCCTCCGGCCTGGATGCTGTCTGGGTACCTGCGCACAACAAGTGAGTGTATCCAACCCAGGGCCTGGGTGCGGTACCTTTGACTCTATAGTTGACTTTGACTCTTGAATTCCTGTGTGTAGCGTTCGGTCACACAGCCACACTCGACAGACTCAGGCCTGGGCGTGTCTCGGTCACACAGCCCAGCGCAGACCTTCTCAGGTCTGTGTGGCCTGGGGCTGAGTTCTGGGCCCCAGGCTACTTCTGAACAGGGTTATTACAATATAGTCAAACAGAGCTGTCCGGTAAATCGCAAGCATAGAGGGAGACGAGGACAACAAACGAGGGTTGTGGCAAACTGTTTCGTCGGAGTTTCACTGACTCATCAGGAGGCTGAACCCTCAACAGTCTGCAAAATCCCCTAACTGATTACACTGTAAGTGATAATCCACCTTAACCCCGACTGTGGTTAAGCATCAACGACTGCCCGACAACTGATACCCTGAGGTGGGCACCAATCACTGCCCTCAAGGTACCTGTGGCAAAAGTCAAAGCAGACTATCACTCACCCACACCAGATGGAAAACTCTACAGACTGTTGATTCACATCCCATCACAAGCAAGCAAAACTATACATATATATATATATATATATATAGCCACAGTCGGGGTTAAGGTGGATTATCAATGACACAGTAATCAGTTAGGTGATTCTGCAGACTGTTGACGGTTCAGCCTCCTGAAACTCCAACGAAACAGTTTGTCACAGCCCCTCGTTTGCTGTCCTCTTCTTCCTCTCGGCCTACGGTTTACCGGGCAGCTCCCTCTCTACCTACAGTTTACCGGGCAGTGTGCTTCAATTTAAGGAGCTTCCTACCTGCATCCATCCAGGAAGAAGGTAGCAAGGTCCTTAAATTGTTCACAGCACACTTCTCTAGGATGGAGCAAGCCAAGATTAGAGAGAGGATATACATGATTGCTGAATAGTACTGTGTCTACTGACCAATTTGCCTGCTAGAAGTATGGCAAGTGGGGAAAAGGAAAGAAAACAAAAAAAGTTGAGTGAGGACGCCGGGCCGCCCAGGTAAACCGGGCGGGCCAAAAAAACGCCCAGAAATATATATATATTTGGAAACCGGGGTC